GGGGGGGGGGGGGCATCCTTAATTGAAATATTAATTACATTTAAATAATGATATTATTGCCATGTAATATTGCCAAACGAATGTGGTGCAAGAAACCAATGGTTCAACCAACAGAAAAAAAAGGAAATTATATCATAGAGGAACCACACTAACCTTAGTTCTTGTTGTAAAATGTGGTCACACTTTAGTTTAGAGATCTCATGATTAACTAGTTTCATATTAGCATGCATATTACTAGCATACTGGCTGCTTATTAGTAGTTATAAAGCATGTATTCTGCATGGCCATGTTCTACATCCCTTAATCCTACCCCGTACCTAAACAACTACATTACGAACCATTAATAAGCAGTAATTTGTTTATTGAGGCAAAAGTCGTAACCTAAAATGCCAGGTGTTGTTGATGATATTTAGGAATTAATTATTCATGATATATGTAAAAAAGTATATTTAATAAGCTTTTCTCAAAATAATAATTAAGGTGTGTACACTTACATGTATTCAAAGTGCAAAAGTGCAAAAGTCTGACCTGATATTGCCCTAAACAACAGGTTGCGCTGTGTTTGAAGATGGCGGCTCCCAGCTTTTGTCGCCTCTTAGCTCTGCTCCTCATCACACTGTCCCACACCTTGTACAGCTCTGAGATCCCATCTGAAAATGCCAAACGGAGTCTGGCCCTGTCTTCCACCTCTGACTCCAAGCAAGACCATGACATGGGACTTCTGGGCGGCAGCCAACGACGGAGACACTGGTCAGGGAAAGACAGGGATAGTGTTGTGCTTCACTCTCAAAGGCCACTGGATCGACCGGAGGATGATGGGACAAGTCTGGAGGGTCTAAGCCCTGTAAGGCTGGAGATAGGGCCCGGGGACAGTATGAGGACGGAGGTTCATGAGGAGGTCAGGGGTCCTGCTCATATGCGGCGGGGAAATCATCCACCGGAGGGAGAGTTCAATCGTAAAGGCAGGAGACATGGCCACGGGCATCAGGCTGATCACAGAAAACAGGGAGGCAAAAGAGACAAAGGTCGAGCTAAAGGTAACTGAGATTTGCTGAATTTTCTACTTAGTTAATATGAGTCATATATTGCAATGTGCAAGAAATCATCCCCCATATTTCTGTTGCTAAAACATCTATGTCAAAAGGACAAAGGAATCACAGTGGTGCCAATTTTTTTTATTTTTAAGTGTTCAGTCTTTACAAGAACCAACTAAGACCTCTTTTGGTTATCACTAGGGTTGCCAACTTCACAAAAGGAAAATACGGGACAATCATGGTTTTTCATAGAAAAATAAGACACACACACACACACACACTCACACAGACATATATATATATGTG